CAGTTTCCAAAAGGAATAACACAATTGCACAGTTCTCTACCCTGTTAAACTGTTGAGCATGCTGTCAGACCTCTTCTTGACAGAGCTGGGCTCATGGCAGTATATTACTTGCTGTTTTCCTGCAGAATTGGCCACTACTGAAGAGGCAAGAAGTCATTATATTTCAAATATTAATAATTACAACAATAATAGTAGCTAATTCTTAGAAGCACTGTCTATATGGCTAGTATACCTGGAAGGACTCTGAGTACATTATTTATTTTTGCTTCACAATATCCCTAAGTGGTAGGTGTTATCTTCCCAGTTTTCACAAGGGAAAACTGAGGATCAGGTAGATTAAGTAACCTGCCCAAGGTTGCACAGCAAGTTAAATAATGGAGATTAATCCCTAACCTAGGTCTTTGGGCTCCAGAGCCCCCATTGCCAGCCTGACATTCTCCTACTTACCTGGATACAAATTCACCTGAGATGCAGTGATAGCTGGTCCTGGGACTTTCCTGGTCTTAGCTCTATGAGACTCCTCAGTCCAGAGAGACAGGGACAACTGGTCACTTCTGGCTTGACTGCTAGAGGGCACTCTGGCTGAACCCTTGGCTTTTACCTCCGATCCTCCCCCGCTGTCTGTCCCTGGCTGCTGAGGCTGGGGAAGCAGCCCAGTAGCCAAGCAGTTCAAACCACCAAGTCCAGATCTTGTTCTGCAGGGCCCAAAGGGACCCTAGGTCTCCCTAAATGCTTAATAATGCAGCTTCTCCTCCAGGCATTTTGTTCAACTTTAGTGGGAGCCAGAAACTTCTATAAATAATCAAGTTCTTTATATTCAAAACAAGAGACTGGCTATATGGACTTATTGTGGACAATTTTCTAAGGTAGCTATATATTGTGAGGCATGTCAGAGAGCTTATCTTTCCAATCATAAATCTAAAAGAAACTCTTTATTCCTAGGGACTGTGGCACCATACATTATTCGGTTTTACATGTCAGCTGACGAACATGAGACTCTAGTCTCGGTGTGACTGCAGGTCTTTGGCTGTAGCTGGACCCCAATTCTTGCATGAAGGTATTGCAGAAAGGAATGTTTTGAAGAGAGAACAGGGGTGACTTTTGCAGCAAAAAACTGCTTACTCTCATAGAATCTGTTGTAAGCAGAAACTGAGTTAACTGCCATCACGTTTATTCCAGTGAGGTTTTAGTGCTTCTTCAAAACTAGTATCCCAGGCAGTGACCAGGTATCCATCCCTACAACATCTTCCTTAATTTGGCTGGATTGCTAACCTGAGAAAAGTTTTTGGGCTTTGTGATCTACCTATTTGCTCAGAGACCCTTTCTGGAAATGAGCGGCATGGGGAGACTGGGGCTAATGGCAGTCTGCCCCACTCCGAGGCTGGGGCTGTTGTATCTGGAGGATGTTGCTTCCGCATGACATTAAGTGCCCCTTTGAGAGTTCAGAGTTAACTTCCAAGCTAAACAAACTAAGTACCGTTCTGCCTTGCTTCTTGCATCTGCACAAGCCTGGACATTCTCTTGGCAGGAAGACTCGATGTTTTAGGGAAAGAGAAACAGCAGAGGAAAGCCAATTAGCCTAATGGTAAGGTCAGTGCAGCTCTGTCTCCTGGACACCCTCAGTTTATCCTGGACTCCCCTGCAGCAGCCAAGAGGGTTGGATTGGAGAGCCATTCCCTCAGTGATGCTCTTGAGCCTGCACATCCCACCACCTCCCCTCAAGGACTCCCCAGTTCCAAGTGAGGCAGTGGCTGTTTGATGGGGCAGTGGAATTACTCTTGAGTGAGCTAAATGACTCCTTTAGGAATAACAGACCAGATAACACAAGGCTACCAGAAAAGGTGACTAATTTGTTTTCCCTAAGAAACAAACAAATAAAAAGTATTCCATGGAAAATTATAAAGACACTTTTAAAGGACATTGGGACTCACATTTCTGTTCATTTATTTTTCATTTGCTTCTCAAACTCTTTAGAAGATTGCTTCTTAAAATGAAAAGGTCAGGATATTTGCCTCCACAAAACCAAGAGCTATGTTTTCTTTCACACAAGTCCATAGCCTCTTCCTGAGGGGAAGTGCTGGACTTGTGCCATAAGTGCTTTTCACCTTTGGAAATCAGCCACCATGTTGCAAGGGAGCCCAGGATCTACAGAGAAGCCAAGCTGGTTAGAAACTAAGGCTTCCAACCAGCAGGCAGCAACAACTTGCCAGTCAGGCTCTCAGAAATAGATCTGTCTGCCCCAGTCAGCCTTCATATAGTCACAGCTCCAGCCAAAATGCAATTGCAACCTCCACAGAGACCTTCAAACCAGGACTGCTCTCAAATTCCTGACTCATGGGGGAGATAATAAATGATTATTGTTGTTTTAAGCTACTAAGTTTTGGACTAACTTATTAGGAAGCACCGTATGAAAAAATACACATAGCATGTTGTCCTTGGCTTTGTCCCCTCCTGATTATAGTGTGGCTGCTATAGCTCCTGACATCACATCATTTCAGGTAAACATAAATATTTCCAAAATTCAATTAATCTTATAATAGGCATCAAGCTACTATGATCTTCCAAATCCAAATCTGGACATGGGATTCCATTAGTAAGAACATTTTTATACTGTTTTCCAAGCAAGAGCAAGAAACTACTCCAGAATATTTTAATCTACATATCTTTACCACCAGTAAGTTCCTTAAGGAAACCCCATTAAGCAACCATTAAGTTAATTAAAAAGCCACTGATTTCATTAATGGAAACAAATTTCTAGCATTAAGTATGCCAACTAGCAAAGCCTGTGCTACTGATCATAGATAAAGATCATGGAAGGTCTTTTTCAAGCTGCTTCTGGAGTATCAGCTGCCTAATTAGAACAGTAGCTCTCTACCCTAGGGTATGGGTTTCCACTGAGGGCAAATGATCGTATGTAGGGTATCATGCCACTTGGAACACATTCATGAGATGGCACTGCCAGTACTTTGATGAGGCATTTTTAAAGTAAATTACAGGGGCCAGGGATTTAGCTAAGTGGTTGCCCCTCCTGCCTCAAAAGCAAAAGGTCCCAAGTTTGATCCCCGGTACCCAAAAGAAAAAAAGATGGATCTAAAGTAAATTACAGACTTTATACACCCAACCTGCCTCTTTTATCTCCAGCTCATTCCTACCCCTCCTTCCAAGGCCTCCCAGTGAAGTCACTCTTAATTTTCATTCACCCTACTACTCAAACACAGAGACGGGTTTCCTTTCTCATATTCCCTGCAGAATGAGCTGTAGAATCCCTGTGTGGGCTCTTGGGTGGAATGAGTGCCTGTTTCCAAAAGAAGCCAGCAATCTTTATAGGCAGTTCAGTCTAAACCTATATTCAAAGAAAGGTACACTCCATTTATTTAACTGCCTCATAACTTGCTATCAGAGTCAGTAATTCTCATTATGGCTGAGGATAGGATTTGGTGTCTTGGAGCCTACAAGAGTAAGACCAAGACCATATTAATCCTAAATGGCTACTGTCTGACTTTCACAAGGGAGAGAGTGAAAAGATGCAAAACATAAAATTCCCACTAAGTCCCTATGTTCTCAGTGTCCATCTGGGGATAGGTAGGAAATGCCCTACTCTCCAAGGGGCAGCCATCAGCCAAGCTATATCTGCCATATGGACACGTGGACATTTACTAAAGAAAATGGGCGCCAATAAAGCTGCGCCAAAGACCATGGGGAGTGACTCAGGAGAGAGCCTGCATTCCATCCTCATCACTACCCGCTCAGTGGTCCTGGATGTGCTCCTCAGCCTTCCCTGACCCTGTGCTTCCTCATCTGTGCAATGCAATGTCATAGAGACCCCATCTAGCTGATAAGATGGTCCTGACAGCTTCAACTAACTCTTGCTTCTAGATTAACCTTGGATCGCTGCCTTCTTTGTTTCTCCCATATTTCTCTCTTCTGTTCCTTCTCATTCTGTTCCCCTTAGTCCTTCCCCTTTCATTCTTTCTTTCCACATAAGAGTACCTGCTGTAACCTCAGAATACTCCCTGCCCTGTAGGACTTCACTGTCTAGTAAAGAACATATCAATAATAATTACCAGAACTATTATTTTAATGGAATAAACACTAGAGTATAAATTGCCAATGTTGGCTGAGCTTGGCTTTGTGCAAGTGCTGTGCTAAGTGCTTTGTATGCATCAACTCATTTCATTTAATTCCAGCAGCACCCTGTGTGGGAGGAAATGCTGGTATCCCAGCTTGAACTTCAAAGAAACCAAGGGATACACCTCAAATCCCACAGCTCTTACCTAATAGAGCCTCCTGAACAAAGGCACCCTTGAATAATTGGAGGGACTTCACTTGATTAGAACACTTGATTGCATAGCCACATTAACTCAGAACTTTGAAAATGATTTTAAAAAAGAAAGAAAGAAAGAAAAGCATGTCACTGCCATGTGATAACATCACAATAAAGGAAATTACCCAAGGCTTCATCAGGCTACGTGTTGATACAGACAGTGCATTGCTTTCTTTTTGACACACACACACACCAAAAATGCCCACTTCATGGTTTCAAGTCTTGCTTCATTTCCTCCCTTATGCTAAGTGATGCCATCTGTTTATTGACGGAGTACAAGAGTTCTCTTAGCCTCCTTCCTGCTTCCCCAATTTTCTGGTTTACACATTTGTAAATCAAGTGGTTATTTTGTAGGCCACGTGCTTAAATGTACTTTACTTCAGAAATGTTCTAGAAGAGATAGAGGAAAACCTCTTCACTTTCTAGGAACAGTGACAGCTATCTAAAGGTCTTACGTGATTGGTCCTTCATTTAAATTCTGGCTTTGACTTACAGCTGGTCACATATTTTGGAGTCAGGCAGTGTGGAAATGTGATGCTTTGATGTTTTTCTGCTCATCCTCTGCTCTCCCCTTCCCTCCACCCCAGTACTAGGAATTGAACCCAGGGCCTTTGCACTATATCCTCAGAATTTTTATTTGGGGACAGGAATTTTCTAAGTCACTAAGTTGCCCAGACTAAGCGCAAACTTATAATCCTTTTACCTTAGCTTTCCAGAGTGCTGGGATTATAGGTGTGCACCACTATGCCCAGCTCTGCTCTCCTCTTCAAAAGAAAGAACTCCATTTTTCTTAGGGAATCACTTCTCCACCAATCTCAGTCCAAGGGCTCAAGGTCTGGCCACTCAAGGTCACAGTCATGATCCATGCTGGGCTGCCGAGTATCACCCTTGAAACTTTCAATGATTCTCTTGGGAAAGAAGTGAATGGCTCTCATTTTGAGTAACCAAGCTGGTGGACAGCCGGCATGGTGGCTTGGCTTACAGGTGCTTATCTTGGCCGTCACTTGGGAAAAGGCTACCTGAAAATGAAGGTAACACAGTGTCAACATTCCTGCTCAGGCTGATTAATCTGGCTAACATCCTTCATGGTTTTCTTCCTCCCAAAACATGAGGCTACTACTGGCCCTGCAATGGGGCACTTCCAGAGGAGTCCCTGATGGGGAGACACAATGACTATTGATACTGTTTTTCTTCAAGAGCTCAGTGCTGTCCCTTACCCAAGGTTCTCTACCTCCTGATTGGAATCCCAAACCCCTTTGACTACTTAAAAATTGGTTTTCTGCCTTGTTAGTGTTAGATTTTTGCTTCCAACTCTACCTTTCCCCCTGCCACGAGCTGTATGCCTCATAGCAGAGACGACTCATCATGTCCCAGCAAGCAGATCTGTGCAGTCAGTCTGGAAGCCTCTTGGAATTAATAGCAACACTTCCATCACCAGATAATATCATATTGGAGCCAGGTGTCTTAGACATTCTACTTTCTCCTGAAGCCTCAGGCTCTTCATACAGAACATGAGGTGCTAGGCTTCTGCCTGCTCTTTGAGACTGCTTGCCAGTCATGCCACCCCTAATACCCAGAAACTATAGTAAGGTAGGGTGACCGCATGAGTCTACATCAGCATGCAACAAAGTTGGTCATTACATGTGATGGCCCAGCCATCTTCCAGAGCTGACTAAACATTCTGATCTTTTAGGATGACACCTTGATTTGCTCTGGTTCATCTGTAGTCCACTGAAAATCAGGATTGCTGGTGACCCACTATGACATCTCTGGGCCACATTCTGTAGATCATTTGAGATGTTAATATACCTGCAAAGATCACTCTCTAGTGTATTTAAAATCCTCTAGACTTCCTGGTCCACTAAAAGAAGTATCAAGCTACATTCCCAATCATACACCACCTTTTCTCCTAGGAACCTGCCAGATAAAAGAACAAAGGTCATTCAGGTTTCCTGGCAATGTTTTATTTGTGAGCAAATTGCAAAATAGCCACAGTTGAATCAGAAATTCAAGTAGTTCTCGGCTAAAATAGTTTTATATTTTCCAAGGTTACTTTTAAGTCAGTCTTTGTACTAAGAATGCATTTTCCCATGGAAACAGTGTCATAGATTATAACAAGAGCCTCAGGCCAAGCCACAAGTGCCTCTAGTAATTACAATGCCTAGAGCGCTTTTACAATAACTATATTTCAACCACTGTATAGATACTGCTTCTGTAGGCAAGCTTCTATTGCATTTCAAGCTCCAACTTGGGATTCTAGGAACACATTTCCAAGCTCCCATATTCATTTAGGTAGCATAAGGGAATTACTTCTTTAGGTCAAGCATTCATTCATTCCCACAAATATTTATGGAGTGCATAGTTTGCACCAGTCATTGTGGAAATAACAATGGACAAAATCACCCCCAAGTGTTCTGAATTGGGTACAGAAAGTAAGCTCCTACTATACTGGCCAGCATAATGGAGGAAGGTTATATTCAACTGTTTCTTCCAAAATGACTACTGGGCCCCAAAGGTGAATTTCCATTTCCATCCTAAAATGCAGACTCCAAAAGTCTGTTGTCTAGCTTAACAATGTTTAGATCTAATCTTCGCTTTGGATTCCATTTTCCACATTAGCTGTTGACTCTTGGGTTGACTAGAAGCAAATCAAGATAAGACATATTTCCTCTTCCATGTGACAAAAGGATTCCAGAAGGCACATTGAGGTTTCACTGAGCTTAACTGGCTTAATGGCCTCAAATTCCTCTGAAACTTTAACAGGCTTGGGGGGAATGGGATGATAGTGATGTTCCCTATGCCAATGGAACCACCAGACCAGCAGATCTGAAGTCAGTCCAGATGGTAAGAATACAGCTGCACTGTTCTGCTTCCCACCTGCTCTGGGGAAGTGCACCAGGACTCCACTATCTCTCCAATGCTTTCTACTGCTTTAAAGACCTGAGCATCCTGCTGCAAGACTAACTGTGGAGTGGAGTTTGCATATTTACCTAGTTCTTTACTACTTCTCATTTATTTACCCAGAGCACCCAAAGTGTTCCAAAATTTGAAAGGAAATATTTTAGTTTTCAAGCTATTTCCTGCTGATAAAGGGATTTCACAGGTTTTATCCCCTTTAAAATCATGTACAGTGGTTTTTATGATTGGGGCAATAGAGAGCAACTTTCCCTGACAGAGGAAAAAAACCGTGAAACTCCAAGTGTAGCAAATCTCATGAGGTTTAAAACCTCCTCTTAATAGGTTTGCTTATCTGGATTAAAATTTGTATTGAGCTCTTCCCCCCAAATGGTTCACAATAAAAAAAAAAACAATGGCTTCACTATGATATTTTTAAATTGTGAGCTTACTTAAGGCAAAAAGTATCTTTAGTTCTGTTGAAGAGTACATGGTGAAAGTTAGAAAAAAAAATCCATACTTTTTTAAAAAACTCTAACTGTTATACAGATATTGCTCAAAAACTGGCTTTCCTTACTGGGATGGCACATTTTTCTATTGACCTGATATCAAGAACAAGCAAAGCAATCTTCTAAAGAAACAGACAGATTGTTTCTGGAATACGCTTGTTTAAGATCATGGGAGGGGACAAATATATCTGTTGCATTTGGCAACCGTAAATTGCACATGACCTAGACATGTGTAAAGGATAGGAAAATAATTCCTTCATCATAACTTGAATTCCCATGGAAAATGACTTCCTAAAAGCCACAGGAATGAATTCAGATACTCAATATTTGTAGACAGCATCCCTCTATCTTCCCTGGAGCAAGTGTAACTGTGTTCCAAACCCTGGCACCAGAAACTTGAGACCATGCACCAGAGTCCAGTCCCTCCCAATCACTGTGGCCCCCGGTGTCAAGTCCAGAGGAGAGGTGGAGGTGGCTTGGTCTCCTCTCCTTCTCCCCCTTCCCATGGGGATAGGATGCGGATTTGGGATAAGAGAAGGCTGAGATAAACAAGCATCTCCCTGCCCACTTCGAGAGTCCAACACAGAGAAACAAGGCCTGGAATCTGCTAAGAGACAGCAGTTCACCCTCAAGTGTCCTTCATCTCAGGGAACCCCTCTGTCATGTCTTCGGGAGTAAGGTGTCACCTTTTCTGGATTGGACAGCTTGCAGTTAGCCAACCTGACTCCAGGCTCTCTCTGCTGCTTTCTACCTATGTCACTTGGAACAAGTAAATGAGCCTCAGTCATCTCATTCATAAAATTTAGAATAATACAAATTCTACCCTGTAGAGCTGAGGATTAAGTGAGTTAGCATTGGGACAGCAAAACAAGCATCATAATGTATATGGGAAATAATAAGCATGCCACAGTGGGAGCTAGTTTTCTAAAGGATGGTACTTGGGTTTTATTTACATGAATTATAAAGCTTGTATTTTCTTCCCCTGGATGGAAAAATGCTTTTCCTTTTAAACTCAAGAGATCCAGAGACTCAGCAGTTTACTGGCATTGCCCGGCACATGATGGTCCGTGGGGGAAATTTAACCTCTGAATGAAGTGTTGTGCTAGACTCTGGAAACAAGCTTAATTTATTCTCTCTATTTGAGAGTAAGAAATATCACTGTCCCAGTCCTTGAAAACCAAAGAAGAGAGGCCTTGCAGTGTTCTCCCACACATTTCTAGGACATTTCCTGCAAGCCAACATTGCAACTCCAAGCAAATAAAAAGTTGGGCAACAATTTTCTTAAGTACCATCTACATAAAGAACATTGTGCTGTGGTTATAAAGGCATAATGGATAAGAGGAAAGAATGTAATAAAATCCTCGTGGCTAGATATGAGGGAGGAAGAAGCATAAGATGATATACTGAGCGTTAGGCTGGACATCAATAGATCTGGGGTCCTTGTACATTCCCTCCCCTTATTAGCTGTGTGATTTCAGGCATGATAGTCAACATCTCTGGGCCTGTGTGCTCAAATGTACAAGTTGAGGGGTAGACGGAATCAATCCAGTCTATGGGTCCAGTTAAAAAGGTGACAAGGTGTGAGATAAATAATAAGGCAATTCTCACTACATCTTAAATCCCAAGCAGCTAGGCTAGACCAAATAAATCATCAGGTGAAACTCTTAAGTATCCTATTAGCTTTGTTTAAATGGTTTAAATCCTGAGTTACCTACTTTCCTCCGTCGACCGGAAGGACCTAGTAATGAGGCCATTTGTTGACTGGGGCATGGATCTGAGCTGGTGGTGAGGGTTGAACACTCTGGAATATGAATGTATCAGGAGTCTGAATAAGAAATGGGCCATGCCCCTGATGGCTTCACTGCTGAATTCTACAAGACATTTAGAGAGGAACTGCTGCCACTACTGTTGAAACTCTTCAATGAAATTGAAAGGGAAGCAATACTCCCAAATACATTCCTGGAAGCAAGCATCACCTTGATCCCCAAAGCAGAGAAA